TATATATATATATATATATATATATATATATATATATATATATATATATATATATGAAAATGGAATATATGGTTGGTAGGCATAAGGGAAAAGGAAAGCTTTAACTTTCTTATTTTGGACACAAATTTTTATGATGTTTATAGTTTTACCTAAGTTGTTTAAAGTTATTAGTTTTTGATTTTTTTTTTTTTTTTTTTGTTTTACCACACTTTTGTAGTTTTTTACAAAACTATATTTTTTTAACACTTGGGCCACCAATTTTCCAACTCTGTTAACTTTGATCACATTTCTTGGTGTTTTATCTATTTCGTCCATTTTACGAATTTAAAACTCAATTAACCTCAAAACTCTATTCACCCCATGCTCCGGGCATGATGGAACAGGAAAGTTTAAATTTCTTATTTTGGCCACAAATTTTTATTTTATAGTTTTGCCTAAGTTGTATAAAGTTATTAATTTTGTACTTTCATTTAAAAGATAAATAACTTCCAAAATTATTCACCTAAAATTAAGGCTTGTGTTTTTTAACCTAATTATCTTCCCTTTCACTTTCTTTAAAACGTGGCTCGCATCTTTGTTCTTCATTGTGTGTGTGTTTTGACTGAGAACCAAGGTTACAGGACTACCATCCTTCTACATCGTACACAGAAAATCATTGTTCACGCAACAACCATGGTATTCCGAGAATCATTGCTTCAAATACGTGATCGGTGGATCACCGGTGAGTCCGTCGGAGGATTTTCAACCCTATCCGAAAATTCATGGTGTTATTGAAATTTGTCATTGTCCCTCTTCTCTTGATTCTCCTGATCTGGCAGTGTAGTCGTGTAATTCGTTGTGCCATGGAAATTCTAAGGTTTTAATCTCGTTTTCAATGTTTCAAGGCACTTGGTGTGGATCAATTTTATTGAAAATATCATATATAACATTCAAAATGTAGGGATAAGTTGGTCTTATTTTAGTTAGAGTATTAAAGTAAGAAAAGCGATAAGTTGGTCTTCTTTCCTTTGTTGATCAACAGACACATGAATTTAATTTGCAAACAATGATGCAAGACATTGTTGCTTCACTTCTGATCGAATTTTAGAAGTGGGTGGTTGCCGGCACCTATCATTTTTGGTTGCTTAATCGATTTTAGTTCAAATGTGTTTTGCAAATTGACTTTGTGGGATTTTTACGATTTAGGAAGCTTATGGAATATGTTCTTTTTATTAATTGATTACTTTATAACTTTTGGGAACCACGGTTATAAAATTAATTTCAAAAATTTAAAATTGTTAATCTATTATTTTAAATAAATTATCAATTAAGAGATATTTTTATTAATTATGTAAAATTATATTCGTTGATTCAAATAAATATGTGAAATTAATTTTCAATTTATATTAGATAATTTTTATTTGTGAATTAATGTAAACAATAATATAAAATTTAAAATGGAAAATAAAAAATAAATAGATCGACAAGTAACATCATATTAATTAGGAGGTCTAATAAATTTAAAATGAAGAATTAATTGATTGACAAGTGACATCATATTAATTAGAACGTCTAATATAATAACACATGGTAAAATAACTACTCTATTATTAGTATAGAGATGTTCCTTTGTTAACAATTCTGTTAGAATTGTAAGTAAAGTTAACATATATATATATATATATATATATATATATATATATATATATATATATATATTCAATTCTAAAATAATTATTGTAATTAGTTGGAAAATGTCAAAAGAAAGATGCGTGATTCTTGTTGTGGTGTTATTACGAAAGAAGGTAAAGTAATGATCTATTGAGACGAAGATGAAGATTGTAGTTACATCATCAACAAATCCTTTCAGAATTCATCAGGATATTCTTTCAGAATGTATTATCAATATATTTTTTTAAAATTGACTAAATTGTTATACTTTTTACATGATAGTTCTAGAACCTTGTTATACAAGAATGATATTTGAATCTCAATATACCTTATTTTTGTTTATGTATGTTACTTCAAGAATGTTTGTGTACCTCATTCTTCAAGAATGCATATTAGAAATCATTAATCTTTTTATGATTTTTTCAATCTTTAGATGTAGACTAGTTTAAAAAATATAATTATTTGATATGTTATTAGTTTAAATAATGTTTTTGTGTAATAAATTCTGCAAAGAATGATTTTTTTAAGAAGAAAAAATTGATTTTATATTTATATGCATATTTTTTAAGAATGATAACGTAGTCATAAACATATTCTGATAGAATATTTGAAATGAAGAGAATTAATTTAAAATTTTAGATTTTTATAATTAGGAGAACTTATTATCCTTTAAAATACGAAAATCTCCTTATTAAAATATAATTTAATTGACTAAAACACCCCTATAATTAATTTTGTATGATTATACAATACGTGTTATTCCATTGTAATATCATAGACCCTCAAATCATAATCATTTATTTTTTTTATTCGTTAGTCCAGAATTATCCTTAGGACCACACAATAGATGGCATCAACATTATAACCTACTCATTATATATATATATATATATATATATATATATATATATATATATATATATATATATATATATATATGATGAGGTTCAATAATGAATTATTATTAATAAGAAACCAATAATAGGTATTAGAAATCATAATGATTAACGGTAAATGAATAGATATATATTTGTACATTGGCTTCATTTATCGTATTCCTTTCCATTTATCCCCACCCCTAAATCATTAATTAGATAATGATTACATACTATTTCTAATTATTAGTGATTCCTTTTATCATAGTCAATCAAATTTAAAAGTATAAATATATTTACATACCAAATAATTTAATGTTTTTACTTTAAAAAAAAACATGTATTCACAATAAATAAATATTTTTCAATTTTTAGAACTATTATAAAAATTAGTGTTCTTATTAAAAGGAAGTACATAAATGATATTCAATATTTTTTTAATATAAAAATTGATGTTTTTTTGTTAAAATAAATAAACATAGAAAAATTATAAACTATATTAAGTTAGAGGGTATAAAATGAATTATCTTTAAAATTGGAGGTTGTTAATGTAAAGTTGTAAATATAAAAAGCATACTATCACAAGCTCTAGCCGCCAAGACATGAGAGAGGTGATTTTCGGCAACTATTCACGCGATTTTTGGCCACTGCCCATTCGATTTCTGGCGGCTCTTCAGGCGATTTCTGGCAAGGTGTCATGTGCTTTCCGGCGAGGTTTTCAGATTACTACTATTTATTTCTCACTCTCGAACGATTCAGACGATTTCAAGGGACGTTTTCAGATTTCCGGTGCCGTTTTACCCATCTGTACAACACTCCAACGAGTATTTCTTTCTCACGCTTGTGTAATTATGACGATTCACATTCTTCTCCGGTGAAATATGTGGTGAGGCGTTGGATAATGACAATCTCTCTCTCTCTCTCTCTCTCTATATTAATCTATCTCCTGATCTTTCCGGTAGCCACCTACGGCAGTGGTAGTGGCTGACAACAGTGGTTGGTGGCCCAACGTGGGTTTGTTGTTGTGGTTGAAAATGTGATTAAAACAATTTCAAAACTTGTCAGAAATGGGGATTTGACTTAGTAAGGTAATTAAGTATTTCAAATGTTCACATATGGGTAATATTGTTTTTTTTTTTGTACTCATTTACCCAACAAACTTGTTTCAACCGTTCAATAATAACCAACATTACCGGCTATTGTAAGTTTTGGGTGATGTGGCATCTACGTGGCTTGTACGCTACAATACTCATCACCTACATGGCATTGAGAAGTGCTTACATTATAAGAGGGTGAGATACGACAGCTTATTAATTAAAACCCTAGATCGATCGATGGCATCTTCTTCCTCATCCTTTTCTTCCAAACGACAAGACGAATTACAACCGGATCATCCATGTGATTGCGATTTGCCATCTCGTGTGAAGACATCAAGAACCCCAGACAATCCTGGAAGGAAATTCAGAGTTTGTCAAAACTCACTGGTAATTCATATTTTTTACTTCTTCTTCATCCTTCAATTTAACATGTTCTTATAAATTTCTTGAAGAATGGAAAAAGTCCAAGCTGTAAATTTTGGCAATGGTTGGATGAGGATGAAGGGAGGAAAGATGGAAGAGGGCATTACAGGATGAAAGCAGAAGAAAGCTGCAATCTTACCTTGAAAATTTGTACCTTGGAGAATGAAATCAGCATATGTAGGATGAAGATTGAAGAAGAGAAGAACAGGAATAAACAAGAACTTGACAAAGTCAACTGGAAATTGTTTACCCATAGACTTGCATTAATTTTCTTGTTTCTCTTGTATGTCAAAATGTTTTTTTAAATTATGTATTATGATGTAGTATGACTAAATTATGTATGCTTTTGTGATGTTTTCAATGAAAAAGGTTATATTCTATCATTGGAATGGAATAGTACATTGTAATGGAATGGGTATTAAACTTGGTAGTATAAAAGATAGTAATAAACATTGTTATGGAATTGAATCATTGTAATTGAATCATTGGAATTGAATCATTGGAATGGTAGTGTACAAAACTTGTAATGTTATTGTTAATCACTGGAATTGAATTGTTCAAACAATGTAATGGAATTGTGATTACATTGTAAAGGAACTGTGATTACAGTTGATATTCTAAAAGATGGTAATAAATTATAAATAATACAAATGGTATTAGAAAGATGTGCAAAAGATGGTAATTGAAACATTGGAATGGTAGTGTACAAAACTTGTAATGTTATTGTGAATCATTGGAATTGAATTGTTCAAACAATGTAATGGAATTATGATTACACTGTAAAGGAATTGTGATTACAGTTGATATTCTAAAAGTTGGTAATAAATTATAAATAATACTAATGGTATTAGAAAGATGTGCAAAAGATGGTAATATATTATAGACATTCCAGGGAACATTGACTTCAAAAGATGTGTCAAAAGTTTTACATAACATAGTTAAACATTCATTACACCCAAAAGATGTGCAAAAAGTTAAGCTATTCCAACTAGTTTTCAAAAGATGTGCCAAAAGATTCCAAAGTTAAAAGATGTCAGTCAAAGATGCCAAAAACATTAACAACAGTACAATAAGCCAAAAGTTAATCCAACTCATACGGATTGTCATCACTACTGCCCTGTTTTCCCTCCCACATCTTTCTTATCTTCAGTTTTGTAATTTTTCTGAAGGTTTCCTTGCCCTCTTTCCCACTACAACTTGAAAAGCTGGTATTTCCACTTGATCTTGAACTACAATTTGGTTAGCATCTTCAACTTGAACTTGCACTTCAGGTTCAACTTCAGCTTGAACTGCAAGGTGAACTTCAACTTGGTTAGCATCATGAACTTCAGGATGATTTTCAGGTTCAACTTCAGCTTGCACTTCATCTTGAACTTCATGTTGCACTCCATCTTGGACTTCAGGTTCTACTCCATCTTCAACTTCAGGTTGCACATCATCTTCAAATTCAAGATCAAAAGAGTCAACATCACTTTCAGGTTCTATTTCAACTTCACTGTCACTGTCAATATCAACTTCATGTGCCAATACAACCTTCACTTTATCTGTTTTGTATTACTTGAAAAGTTAAGTTATGCCCAATATGTTAAGTTATACAAGTTATATACAAATAAATATATCAAACATACCAGCTTTCTTGGATTTCTTTTTCTTTGAACTTGCATTTGATGATTCCCCAATTGGTTTTTGAGGACAGGTTGTTCTATTATGCCCACTTTCCCTACATATGCTGCATTTCATCACACTACCTCTTTTTGTGATTGAATGCTTTTTTCCTTGGTTTTCCCTCTCAATCTGATCCCTTTTCCTTTTTGTTGATGGTCTTCCTGGTAGCCTTCTCCTTTTGGGGGGCAATGGGCTGATGTAGTCTACATGAGGCCACATGTCACTACCATTTAGTGGGTTAATGGTATTCCTGTAACAGTTTAGGTACATTGATGTGGTAAACCATGGTGACACATACTCCTGTACATCCCTGTTGAGGCTTGCAATGCAAGCATACCCATGCACACAAGGGTAACCTGTTAACTGCCAAGTTCTGCAGGCACATGTCCTACTACCAATATCCACAACATATGCATCATACCCAAGTCTGACTTCATACTGTTGATAACCAGATGGTATTACTTTCCAAAACCTGTCCATATACACATGTTTAAAGACAAACATATATAAGGACAAACATGTTTAAAGACAAACATATATAAGGACAAACAGTTTTAAGCACTTACCTTTGAAGATCCTTAAGCTTGGACAACTTCAGCCTAATGGTAGGACATATGGTTAAATCCCAAGATTGCCCCTTAATCTTCTGTCTATAAAGCCTCTCCATCACATAAATTCGAATTTCTTCTAACATGGTGATTAGTGGTCTCTTCCTAGCAACTTCAATCACAGAGTTGAAACTCTCAGAGATACCATTTTCATATGCATCACAAGCCCTATCAGTCTGAAAAAATGCTTTACTCCAAGTTTTAGGGTCCCTTTCCATCAAATGGTCATAAGCTAGTGGCTCTAATTTCTTGATTTCATTCATGTGTTGTTCAAATTTTGCAGGGGTAGTAGCTGCAGCAGCATACCAGAAAAGCTTTCTAAACACTTGGCCCTTAAACCTTTTCAGGAAGTTAGCACATATGTGCCTAGCACATTGCCTATGCTCTGCTGCTGGGACCCTTTCCTTCACAGCCTCAAGTAATCCCTGTTAGCAATAGACACAAAATTTAAACAACAAAAACATAACATAAGCTAAAATAAAGATGAAAATAATAAAAATTGATTACTTTGTGTTGGTCTGATATCAAGGTTAGTCCATGCCCAACTCCCATTCCAAGGTCCTCAATTAGAAGGTTAATAAACCACTTCCATGTTTCTTTACTTTCCACTGATACAACAGCCCAAGCAATGGGATATATATGGTTATTTGCATCTCTACCTATAGCAGAGCAACTGACCTCTGCATATGCCCTTTAGGAAGCAACCATCTAGTCCAATTACCCTCCTACAACCTTCAATCCATCCATCCTTCAATCCCTTGAAACATACATAAAACTTTGAGAAATATGTGGTTCCATCAGGCATGACATCTACATCCATCTTCACTGTTGATCCAGGGTTAGTCCTTCTTATCTCTTCTCCATAGCTCCATGTTTTTGCATAATGCTCTTTCAAAGTACCCTCTATCTCCTGAAATGCATACTTCCTTGCATTTCTGCATTGACCAACACTTGCAATCAAATTAAATTTCTTGCTGACCTTAGCTTTCAACTTCCTTATACTCATCTTTGGTTTCTGAAGTATATGATTCATGAAATGCTTTGCTATCCATTTATAGGTAACAATGGACCCAAATTTGAACACTCTTGCACAATTATGCATATCATTCAGAGATTTAATCTGGAATGATTTTTCACTGCTCATCCAGGTTGCCCATAATCTAAAAGGACAACCTTTACCCTGTTTATTTGTCTTACCTTTACAACATTTTACCAATAACCTTTCATGATCACTTTTCTCATACCATAAATCATATCCATTTTTGACTGCATAGTTGGTGATACACAACTTCAATTCCAATGGATTAGAAAACTTCATACCCAAAACTGGCACCATTTGCTCCCATTCTTGATTCTCATTATGGACAGGGAACACAACATCCTTAAGTTTCCCATTGTTTGCTTCCTCTTCATCATCATCACTAATATGCCCTGAAAGTTTGTCCAAGAATGGGTCTCTAACAGTTTTATCAAAAGTATGTTCATCTTCATCATCCCATTCATGTTCATATTCCATTTTCATTGAAACTTCAGAATCCTTGTCATCCTCTTCATCCAACTCATCCAACTCATACCCTTTACCATCTTCTAAGAACTCGTTATCAGCCCAATCAAGAATTGGTTCATTTCGGTGGTCAATGTACACATCTAACTCACTCTCAAGACTATCACTCTCCAGACTATAAACAGTCTCCACAAACTCCCAATAATCAGCATCACTGTCGATTCTTCTAATACCCTCACACAAGCTTTCCTTTCTCATACAGTAGTAGACATTATCACATTCTCCATTTGTTAATTTCGTAAGCCACAAAAAAACTCTTTATACGTAAATCCCCCAAAATCCACATCACGTACATTTGTTTTTACGGGGTCTAAGTACACCAATGGGTTTGGCGAAAAGAATCCATTGTAATGAAAATCTACGGGTACATACATACCTGTAGATGAGGATGCCATGCTAGCAGTCGACTTCAATTCCAACTTCAATTCCAAGCCCTAATCGTCGATTTGATGTATCGTTTGATTTCTCACAGAAGAAGGTAATCGAGGTGTGTTAGCTGACGATGACGAACCCTAATTAAATGAGAAAGGGGTGTAATGGCCACGTAAGATTCCACGTAATGTTTTAAACCGAGCTAAATCAATGTTACCGGCTAAAACAGGTAATAGCCGGTAATGTTGGTTATTATTGAACGGCTGAAACAAGTTTGTTGGGTAAATGAGTACAAAAAAAACAATATTACCCATATGTAAACATTTGAAATACTTAATTACCTTAGTAAGTCAAATTCCCGTCAGAAATATGATTAAAACATTAAACATGCACTGGACACAATCTTTAATGTGTTAAAAAATATATTTTGTGTTTATTGGGTAATACCAAAAAAATGTTATAAAAATTAAAAGTATAAAACCTGCAACCAATTAATAATAATTAAAGGGGTAGGAATACAAAAACAAAGGTATTAACAACGTATTCATTGTACATTGTACTCACATACATTGGATTATACCATAAACTCAAAGTTTTACCAAAAAAAACTCACTTCTTTTTTTGTTTAAATTCTTTTAAGCCATGTTTTTTTATAGAAAAAAACTGCATATACTGTTGTTCACGATTTTCCTTCCTCCTTCTACAGAGATCCTTGTTGATATATAAAAAAACAATTTTTTTTCAAAAAAAAACTCACTTTGTTTTTTTGTTTTTTTTTAATATTTATGTTTTTTTATCCAAAAAAAACTAATTGTACCAAAAATCTTCTTTTTTCTTTATTAATAAAAATCAACATCAACTTAAAAAATAAAAAAATTGATCATTTAAATTCACATTTTAAATGTAAACTGTAAGTCATTTAAACTGTAGGAGTCATTTATACCCAACCAGCTACTTCTTTTGGTATTATTTAGTCCTTCATAATATCTTTTATTATACGTCACTAAACTTGCAGTGACCTTTCAATTAGGCCAATATTCCATATTTTTGCCAGTTCTATACGTAAACATGCCGACAAAATCAAATTGTTCAACCTATGTGGCAAGAATAAGCCATATCATTATAGTGGGCTATATTTGTTTTTCAAGAGTTTTAAACTATAAAGAAGTAGATTTTATAAACCATTTTTTACCCCAACTCTTCCTCTATTTCATATATATATATATATATATATATATATATATATATATATATATATATATATATATATATATATATAAATGTTAGGTTCATTTGAGACGGTTTAATTTTTTGAGACCGTAGGACGTATTTTTTTATTTTTTTTTATTTTTTTTTTATTTTTTATTTTTTTTAGTTGATTCAAGTTCTCTAAAATAACATTTAAAAAAATAATTTTTTGGATTTTTCCATTTATTTTGCATTTTAAAATTATTTTTTAGAATATGTACAGTGTAATATTTTATTAAAATATTTCACGTATTTTTCAAAAAAAAAAAACAAGATTTTTTATTTTTTTTAGTTAATTCAAGTTCCGAAAATAATATTTAAAAAAAGAATTTTTAGATTTTTTCATTTATTTTGCATTTTAAAACTATTTTTTAGAATATATCAGCGTAATATTCTATTAGAATATTTAATGTATTTTTCAAAAAAAAAAAAAAACAGGATTTTTTTATTTTTTTATTTTTTTTAGTTAATTCAAGTTCCAAAAATAATATTTAAAAAAATAATTTTTGGATTTTTCCATTTATTTTGCATTTTAAAACTATTTTTAGATTTGGTCTCACAGTCTAATAAAATTAGAATGGACTTAAATGAACCTCAACCCATATATATATATATATATATATATATATATATATATATATATATATATATATATATATATATATATATATATATATAGGACAAAGTACACGAATGGTCCCTATGGTTTAGTGTTTGTTACGCGCCTAGTCCCTAACTCCATTTTTTAACCATGCCAATCCTTAATAGTTTGGTTTAGTGCACGGATAGTCCCTCATCTAACATTCCGTTAGATTTTGGAGTTAAAACCCCCACGTGCCTTGCACGTTGAGGGGTATTTCCGTCATTTTACTTATTCATCCTACCGCCAGTTTAAGAAATCGATGCGTTCAATTAAACGATCATACTCTACATTACACAATCGTATACCCAAAAAAACACACAACTTTGTGCAAAATCCTTACGTGAAAACCCTAGTATCGACGACTGCAAGAACAAAGAATTGCAATGGTTTCTTGGCACATTCGTGGTGAAATGGATGAAATCGACGTTGATCAAAGTTATGGTATGTTTGATTGACTTTCGTTTGAATGATATTGACTGTTAAAGGTTTAATTTTGTTAGCTAAAAACGATTCTCTCCTCTACAGCTGGACATCCGACAATGTTTTCAATAAGAATGCACCATGGAGGTGAGTTTACAAGCTTTCCTGGAAGGAAGTATATTCGTGGGAAGAAAACATTTGTTGATTTACTGGACATTGATACCTTTTCCGTTCATGACATTGATGAGATGATGGAAGACCTAGGGTATGCTTCAATAGGTAAACCACTTTACTATCACTTTCAAAGGCCTTTAGGCGATTTAGATTTTGGGTTATTCGCTTTAGCTAGTGATGAAGATGTTCGTTATTTGGGGAGTTTTGTGGCTAAGCATAAGTTAATTGAGGTATATATAGAGCATGACAAAACTACTCTGCACACCTATTTAATGTCCCCAACCCACAGTAAAGTTCGTATAACGGAGATTACTGAACCTCCATCTTGTTCAAAGACACTGTTCCTGGAGTGGCATAGCACACCTGCTGTTGACTTGGAGGATGACATGGATCACATGGAGAAAGAATCGGGTAATGATCCTACACCCACTGGTCATCTGGAGAAGGATTTGGGTAATGATGCTACTATCACTGATCATATGGAGAATGATTTGGGTAATGATGCTACTCTCACTGATCATATGGAGAATGACTTGGTTAATGATGCTAATGACTTTGGTAAGTTTGGTGAGTTAGAGAGTGACAATGATGAAAGTGATGATAGTGATTTTTTTGTGGACATTGAAAATATATTGGATGATATTAATGTGGATATGCAAGATTTTGAAATGAATATCGACAAAGATGTGGAATGGGTTGGAGGGTCGTCTAACACTGTGGTTGATGAAGGCACACAGGATGAAGCTTTAGAGGTGATTAACACTGACTTTTTAGCATCTGATTCATCATCAGATGAGGGGATTAATGGTCAAAGAAAGAAATCAATAAGAGCAATTCAAAGGGCACATGAGAATGATGAAGCACTTGTTAGTGAACCCTTCTATATTTTTCAAAAATTTGGTTCAGCAAAGGAGTTTAAGGATAAGGTAAAACTCCATGCCATAGAGACTAGAAGGGAGCTGGCTCTTGAAAAAAATGACAAGAATAGAGTGAGATGGGTTTGTAAGGGAACAATACCAAAGCTTGGGCCTAATGTAGAAGTCAACGATGAAGAAATCGTCAAATTCACAATATTAATCTTTGAAAATTCACACGGTTAATCCGAAAAATATATTTAACATTCACAATGTTATGTTATGAATTTAGATATTTTTAGTTTTTTTTTTCGATAAAGAATAAGCTCCAGAACTTGAAAAAAAAAATCTTTTCCTTGAAGAACCAATAATTATGGTTCTTTATTGAGCTTTTCCTTATATATATATATATATATATATATATATATATATATATATATATATATATATATATATATATATATATATATCATGGTTGCAGAAATCGGAATTAATCGTGGATTAATCGCTTAGCGTTCTCCAACCGTCGAGGATTAGGGCATTAATCGGAAATTTAGGATTAATCGGGTTTAACAGGATTAATTGGCCTTGGCGGGATTAATCGGTCAACAAAAGTCAAAAATGTCGAAAAAAGTCAAAAAAAGGTCAAAAAATTTTAACAAAAAATTTAAAAATTCAAAAAACCAACTTTTTTTTTACTCCAAAATTTTTAAATTTTCAAAATTTCAAATATTATACCAAAATGTTCATATTTTCGTATTTCCAAATTTCCAAATTACAATTTTTCTTATTTTCTAATTTTGAAGTACTTGTTTTTCTTAAGATATATTAATATTTAATTAGTTTTAATGTTTTATTAATAATCTATAGTCTCCGATTAATCCCTACCAAGACCGATTAATCCATTAACACCACTCAACCGTCGAGTTACCGTCAAGCGATTTTTACAACTTTTATATATATATATATATATATATATAATATATATATATATATATATATATATATATATATATATATATATATATATATATATATATATATATATATATATATATATATATTAAAATTGGACAGTTGTTAGGAATAGTAAACTATGTGTTGTTTACGCAGAAATGGTCCTTCATTTATAGTGGTTTGTCATATTTTGCCTTTATTGCTGTGCATTCATTTTCTGGGTACTTTTTGCCATTTTCTACAAACATTGTCGACACATGTTTATCACATATTCTCTTCACTGTTTTTCGACCCAATCAGATTCCGATCAGTGGTATTCTTCTTCACGTGCTTCTCTGGGGTTAATCCCTCCACTGATCCAGTGCCTCAGATACTTCTTGATTCTTCATTATCGCTCAATTCCACTGCCTCAAATTTTCTGTTTCCGGTCCATTCCGATCCACTGGTTTATAACACCTGTTTTAGGTATTAACTGCTTTAGTTACATTTTTTTGGGGGGGGGGGGTGGGGGTGGGGGTGTCACACCCCGA